TACCCTGTGCACCAGCCCCACTCAGGGGCACTGCAGGGGACAGGGTGTCCATCAGCACAGCCCCACTGCCCAGGCCATGGGGACAGATGCAGGATGTGCCTGGTTTGGAGAAACTGACACATGGGAGATGTCAGATTTCAATGGGAATGTGCTGGCACGGTATGGAAAACTGCTCTGGGTCACATTCCAAATTTTATAACTTAGAAGTGAAAGTGTAAAAAATGCTTTCACCATGGAAAGTGTTGATAAGCAGAAGCATAGCTCAGGACCCGTTGCAGAACATTCCTATATGCAGAGACATAAAAATGGCTGGGGGCAATGCTAAAAAAAAGGCAGTGCTCCAATACCCGTGGCAATCACAGCTGTCTGAAAGGAGCAAGGAGGGAGCACATCTTCTCTTTCCCTGAGCCAGGAATGGGAGATTCAGGCTGTTGGACCCATGTGTCCAGTGAAAGATCAACATTAACATCTCATCTTCCTCCAGAAGAAGCAACTATATCCCACTTCCAAGAAAAGAGACTGACATCACCAGAGGCTGCAAGTCCATGTAGAGCTTCCTTGTTGACTCAGTGACAGAAGCAAAGACGCAAAGGTCCACAGACATCAGTAGAGCAAGCAGAACCACAGTGCAAGATGCTTTTGTGAATCAGGTAGGATCAAGACTATTTTTTTCTCTGACGTGTGTAATTACCCTGAATATGGGTAATTGCTGCCATCGCAGTAACTTTAAACATTGCAGTGATTTAGAGTATTGGTATATTTAAACATATTCTTCAGTTGTTTTTATTTTTAATTTGAGATCAGATATATAGAAACACAGAGAGAGGCTGAAGAACTCCTAGCTCTTAAGGAAATTGTTTACAGTATATCTCTAAGGATGCACTCTTGTAGCCATCTGCTTCTTCCATTCACCTAAATATCACACTGCAGATCCACCTGAGGTATGCCAGTGCTTTTGCAAGCGCTAGGAGGCACCAAACAGGCAGGGCACACTACTGCTTCCCCTTTTTTTTCCTGTTTTTCTTTTGAATAGAGGCCGTGCACTTCTCCCAGAAACATGGTGGATTTTTCTGAAGTTCTTCTTTCTTGAGTTCCCAGTCTTCATCTCTCTGGTCTAAGGGGATTTTTCTCAGTGCAGCTCTCCTGCGGTAGTTCCTACTCTCCACCTCTGCTCTGGGAGAGAAACCAAGAGTGAGCACAGCACACACACATCTCCATTCACAGGGGCCAATATACAGGGTCAGAAGTTTTTGTCTTGCTCTGCACAAAACCCTGCTGCCAGCAACACTTGAGGAAACTCCACAGTGTGTCCAGCCTCGTGCAGCCCCAACCTCTCCTCACAGGGACACCCCCCTGGGCCCCAGCACTGCCTGCATCCAGACATGGACATTCCAAGTGTAAATCTTGCCCAAGAGAAGGCAAATCCTTTCCTCCTTCTGCAGGGCTCTGATTTTGTAGGCACTCAGGATTCGAGAATCTCTGTCAGAAACACTATCCCATATCAGGAAAAATTCTTTTTTTTCTGTAATAGAGCATTTCTTTCACATGAGTGCAATGCTGTTCCAGCTGAGAGCAGGGAGCAAAGCCAGCAGTTCCATGTTGATGGATCTCATCACATGGGCTTTCTATATCATACAGTCACGGAATGGTTTGGGTTGGAAGGGACCCTAGACATCATCTCATTCCATACCTCCCTGCCATGGACAGGGACACCTTCCCCTAGGCCAGGTTGCTCAAAGCCTCACCTAGCTTGGCTTTGAACACTTAAAGGGATGGTGCAGCCACAGCTTGTCAGAGCCTCACCACCCTCACAGTCAAGAATTTATCCCTAATATATGTAATCCTACCTACCTAAGCCATTCCCCCTTGTCCATGCTCTTGTCCAAAATCCCTCTCTTGTGAGCTCTCTTCAAGTACTGAAAGATGCTTTAAGGTCTCCACAGGGCCTATGTTTGAAAGTGGTGGTTGATGTCCCATGGCTGCTGTTTAAGAGGCATTTGGAAAATGCTCTTCATAAGATGCTTGAACTTCTGGTCAGTCCTGAAGTGGTCAGACCATAGGACTAGTAGTAGGTCACTCCAACTGAACTACCCTATTGTCTTCTGTTAAGTATCTGCTACCAAGGGCAAGAAATATCTTTCTATAGACTTTTGAATATAAACATACATATTTATTTATTTATTTACACATGAGTATATATATGCCCTGGCCTTAGATAGCAGGATTCTTTGGTACAGTTTCAAGAGCTGGCACTTTGCAGAGAGGCTGGCAGCAGACATGGGCTGAGGGTCCCTGTGCCATTCTTGGCAGCTCTCCCAGCATCCAGAGCCCTTCTCATGCAAACCAAATCTGATGCAAAATATGCATTTGCTATTCAGAAGCAGCTGTTTTGAAAGCAGCTGTTTCCTAACTTTTGCATGTTCATGCAAACCTCAGTGAGTGGTACTGATACTTGGCAGCAGAATATTCCTAATATTTGCATGTCAATAATATTTCCATGTTGATACATGTAATATTTCCATGCGGATGCAGTCCTCAGAACGATTCAGTGGTCCAGCCCAGGTAGGCAGGTAGTTCATGCAGCTGGCAACACCTGGGGACCAACAGTGTGCAAGGGTCATGGTGGCGCTAGAGGGGGCTGAATCTGGATCCTCATAGGCCTGTGTAGATATGCACATCAGTGCTGCATTTGGTACAGACCCTCAGATGGTTTTAAAAATTGCCTTTTCTCTCTTTTTGCATGACAGGCAAATATCCAAAGCTGACAGGAATGCTGTGTAACAAAATGTTCCTCATATTTATACCCCACACACTGCTGAGTGGACGGCAGAGCTGCTCTGTGCAGCATTTTGTGCAAGCACACTCTTAATTCTCTGTCTGGTGGAGAGCACACACAGTACTGCCCAGTTCCCTTTGGAACTGCCTGACCCTGGACATCACCTCTGGAACCTTCTGCACATCTGAAGGAGCAGACAGTAATTGAAATGACACTACAAGTGACAACCATTCCTCCAAGTTTACTCCAAGTTTTCTGATGTGAGGCAGTGAGGCCAGTGTGTGAGGGTGAAAGCATCCATTGTGGTCATAAATTATAGTGGCTGGGCTTAAAAAGTATTCCTGAGTCTCAGTGATAAACTCTTGGCTGCCCACAGGCTGGGGTATGGCCGTGAGGTGCTCATACAGGCTTTGTGTGTCTTATAAAATGTTCTGGACTGGCCATTTGAAGCATCTTCCTAGTCATTAGATCTCCCAGCCATGCTGAGCCATGCAGCTGTGGGGTGAGTCAGGCCAGTATGTGGTTCTGAAAGACAAGTTTCCCACCTTAAATGAGACATTCACCTCAGAAAGCCCTTCATCAGCTGACCTGAGTCACCATAGACTGTTACTAAGGTGTCTCAGACCAGGATGTCAATCATTCTCCCAGGCACCTCTGCCTGCCAAGGGCATTGCCCTTTGGCATCATCCAGGCAATTCCCCTACCCCTACTGTCAGGTCACTCCCATGGTTCTGGAGCACATCCAAGGGCACAGCAGATGCTACAGACTTGGCAGGAATTACTGGCAAATAATTGCTATAAATTATTCATCCAAGGACAGAAGTCTGCAGACTTTCACCCTCTAGGTTAGACAATATTTACCTGCTCTGGTACAGAACCTAATATGCCAAGAGCTGAGAACAGTATAAAGATAATCCCCACTGGAAGACAGTGCCCCATTCTCAAAGGTCTGGCAACTTGAGCTTTTACTACTTCAGTCAAAGAAATCTAATTTGCAAAGCTTCATTATGAGCTGCTGATTGCCTAAATGCCTTTTAACTGAAGGTCTGAAGGTAAGAAGGGCTGATACATCTGTGTGGAAGAAAAGTGGTGAATAGTGAGGGATTACAGCATGTCAGCTCCAAAATCAGAAAGACTTCAGCTCTAAGATGGTCTGGATGTCCCATTCTGGCAGTGTTTAGCTCCATCACACCAGATGGGGCTTTGAGCAACCCGGTCTAGTGGAAAGGGTCCCTGTCCATGACAAGGGGTTGGAATGAGATGAACTTTAAGGCCCCTTCCAGTCATTCTGTGATTCTGTGTTGTGTGGGCAGGTAAAATGCAAAGCTATCAGCAGCTTCCATAATAGCCAGAGCTTGGAAAACAGAGCATGTGGCTCCCCTAAAAAGTTTTCTGGGCTCTGTATAGAGACATTTTGCAGAGTTTGATTGTCTTTTCCTATGGAAAGACTCTCATGCTGTGTGAAGATCAGAGGTGGGCATGGGGCATTTCAGCAGGTACCAACAAGCTGTAGGAGCACAGCAAAAGGGCAGCAATACCTACAGAAGGGTTTATATGAATTAATGAAAAGTGGCATTCGTAAGGCACTGGCCTCCTCAGATATTTGCCTGTCACCATGCCTGATTTTGGCAGCTCACATGCTGCACTGGCAAGCTGGAGACTTTGAGTTGGATAAATACCTATAAAAATTTATGGGATATATATTATCAAAGTAGTCTTGAGAATGTGGAAGTGGTAAAATAGACACCAGTGAAGGATGATGGTGGGACTGTAAAGTCACAGAAAAACCCAAAGAGAAAACACTTTTGGGAGCTCTCAGCACTCCAGTCTGGCATGTATAGCTTTCATGGGCAGTGTATTTAAGTAAAGTAGTGTTGGGACTGTGGCTTGCACTGAACAAGCTAGTTGGTCCTCTGGTGATCTGTCCCACTGCTTTAGAGAGATGCAAGATGGGACACAGCTCAAAACTCTGCAGTAAAGCATCCTGATCCAGGGAAACACTTCTGCAAGGATGAAAATACCCATGAGCTGAGCCAATGGCTGAAGAACAGGAATGGTAATAGGGAACCATTAAAAAGCATATTTCTCATGGCATATGCTGCCACAGTGTTAACAGTAAGCAATTACGACAACAAGGATTTTCCCAAAATTTGGAAGTAATATGTGACCATCCTATTAAGTGGTCTAATTTTCAATGATTACGTAAAAAATAGGTTCGCTTTTTTCTTTACTGTAAGAAAAGCCAAATGATTATATATATATATATAAACTGCTGAGGGCTGTTCCTACACAACTCAACCTGTGTATTTGCTATTCACCACTGTAAGGGGTTAACACTTGTCAGCTGTTGCTTTCATTTCTGTTTCTCAATAACGGCTCTGCAACATCCTTACAAAAACAATGATGTCACGAAGCCCTAACGATTTTGAAAACATACCAAGGGAAACCGCAGGAGGCAAGGGAATAAAAGAATATCTTCTCACGGCTTCCCCGTGACAGGCCAGTGTTTGCTCATCCACTACAGCTTGTGCGTCAGGGCTTTAGCAGGCTTAGGGTGGGAAGATAAGTAACACGCTGTGTTTGTTCTGGTCCTCTATGGAGCAGTGAAGTTAATTTTCACTGCAGCCGCAGCGGGACCTGCCACCACTACTCACTTTTCCAAGAACTTGGAGCACTCCTGGTGTCCGTAGATCTCCGCGAGCCTCCGGGGAGTGTCTCCGAAGAGGTCGGCGGCATCCATAGCAGCGTGCAGGGAGTGGAGGGCGCGGAGCACCCGCAGCTTGCCCGCCTCGGCAGCGAAGTGAGCCGCGGTCCAGCCCACGTCGCTCCGCAGGCAGGGCCGGGCACCGTGATCCACCAGGAGCCTGACCAGGTCCGACCGCCCTGGCAACGGGCAGCAAAACCACGAGAGAACACGCTTTAGAATTTATACCTTCAGGATGCAGAAGGCGATCACACACGGCTGGTCATAATTCCCTCAGCCACGGATTTCACCCACCTGACTATTTGGTTCATCATATAAATGATAGTGAATAGGAAATGCTGGCTATTTTCTCCCAAACTAGACTGTTTCCAGAAGAAATTTACAACAAAAACAACAACCAAATCAAAAAGCTTTCTAATTTCTGAACAGCACATCTCAATTAGTCATTGAGCAATTGGCTATTTCATTGCTTCATTTTGGTTTTCAGTTCAATTGCCAAATAAAATTTAAACATTGAGAATGGGAAAACCTGTGAACAGCTTTACTAAAACTAAGGTTTTTTGGATAGCAGGTAGAGAAACTACTCATTTTTCATTCACCTTCACATTTTTCTAACCAGTGGAATTTCTTAAAGAAGCAAAAAAATTATTTCTACACCACTTCACACTGCCTTGACTGAGCTAGCCTATTTCAAATCACATCTAGGCTCTGTCAGCTTCTCACTATCATTTTTGTTAAGTAGCTCAGTCCCCTTTGCTGATGTTTAAATGCCTAATAATAATCAGGACAAAAGAAAAACATGGTCTTAAGTGTAAAACAGGAAATCACACACTTGATTTTTGAGCAAAGACAAATGCAATGACATGAGATCCCAACAAACACTGTAGCATAGAGGAGTAGAGGTCCAGTTTCCCATTTTACAGTGTGTACAATTATACATTATATATTGTTGCATCACCTCTTTTTTGGACTGCAAAGGGATATTTGACTTTACCAGACACTTTTGAAGGTGAAGGACCAAATGGGAGCTGCAAACAGCTCTGGTCCTGCATTGTTCATTCAGGCAGCTGGGATATAAAGGGAGAGCAAAGTAAAACACAGTTATTATTTTGTTCTATTGGGTTTGATAAATACCTGGTGTAAATACAGTGGGTTTGACTTCTTGCTCTTTCCCACAGGTGTGCTTGAGAAATAAACTCAGAAAGTCATCTCTTGGAAAAATAAGGGGGAAAAGCAGCCATTCCCTATGTGCACATCATGTAAATTGCAAATTGTTGCGTGATGGAAGATAAAAAGCTAAAACCCACTTCAACAGCAGTCTCATAAACTATTTTGTAGGCAAAGTTCCCATTTAAATGGATATTTAACCTTTTTTTGCACATTAGGGACAAAATTCCCAGATACAAGCTCAGACTTTGCCAGCCTAGATACAATTACAGGTGATCAGCATCACCTTTTATGATGTCCACAGAGGTAACAGAGCTGGGGGTGCCCTTACCTTTGGCAGCAGCCCAATGCAGGGGGGTCCTGTCATGCCAGTCAGCATCCTTCTGGTTTGGGTCACAGTGCCCTGCCTTCAGAATCTTTTTCACCAGATCATAGTCGCCCACAGCCACGGCTTCATGAAGCTCTGTCATGCTGTACTCTTCAGGAAGGAGCCTGGTAACAGAGGGATGGTCGTTTAGTGGGTGTTCACTGATGTATCAGCTCCTCTCAGCAGATTTAATAGGTCAAGCAGCACTCGGATTAAAAACAAGACAGGCACTGTGAGAAACCAAGATTTGTCCAAAAATAAGGAAAAAGGAATGACGGGGGCAAAAAGAAAAAAGTTATAATTTATCTTCAAACCAGTGATGACAGACTAATGCTGACTTTTGGTCTGCAGACACAGAAATCTGCAGCAAAAGACAGTCCTTAGTATAAAGGACTTGCAGCTAAAGCCACACTGAACATTTGCCATGGGTTTGTTGTGCTCACTAGCCATGGGAACCAGCTCCTCCCTCGCCAGTGCTGCAGGTCTCTTACTGCTAGCATTTTATTGCAATGACAGAAACATCTATGCAAGCATCCTCTGATGTTCTTTGGTGAAAATTATAAAAAGGGATAATTATAATTAAGCTAATTAATAAGAAAAGAGATGATAGGGCAAGGAGGAATGGTCTTAATTTAAGATTCATAAACTGTTTCACGCCTGGGTGGTTGGACTGTAGGTAAGATCTTTTCAAAAGAAAGACCCATACTTGTCTTCTACTGAGTTTCACTCCTGCACATCTGGGAAAATCTGAATATATTAAAAGGAAAATTAAATTTTGTAGCTCCTAGTGGGCCAAAGAAGTATCATGGGATCTCTGCTACTCTAACCACCTGTGTACCTCATTGTCTCTCACTAACCTTAAAGAACCTGTTCTTTTAGATTAAAAAGAGATCTGACTTATTCTCCAGCATCCTTCAGCAGCATCAAATCTATCCCAAAAATGTCAAACTTTAAGGCATCTAGCCCATCACTGAAATGAATGGACAATAGTACAGGGAAAAATAAAAACTGGGCCTTTTCATACAACTTTCTTATTCTTTTCCAGCTTCATATCACACCCCCACACATTAACCCAGAGGGAAGGGAGGCTGCTGATTCCAAAGCAGCTCTCCAAGGACACAGTCCACAGGGACAACTTCAAAAGCAATTTAAGCTAAGCCAAATTCTACCTCCTTTTGCTAGCCTTGAACCTTATAGGGGCATTTCACAGTTGCTGATCTCTCACAAAATTAATCTTTCATTACGGGTGCTGTTTTTCAGGTGAATTCCCTGAATTCAGCATTACTGAGGGGGCAAACACCAGGGCTGTGCAAAGGGGGGTGAGCACAGATCTGCCCCACAAGTAGGGACCTGTGCTAAATCCACTTTCAGCCACTCCAGATGTTGTACCCGAAAATGAGATCTGCCTCCCTAGACTTGTGATTATCCCCTTCTCATAGGGACAGAGGAAAAGATCTGTATTTTTACAGCACAACCTTGAGCCAAAGCGCCGTCCCCCGCCGTTCGCCCGGCCACAGGCATTGCGGCTCCTCCACGGGGTGTTGCAACTCATCCGGGGGAATTTCCTCGTGGGGTTCCTGCTGCTTGACCCAGCCCCAGCCGGGAGATCCAGAATTCACACACAAGAAACCCACACATGACCCTGTCCCTGCCATACCGGGGCACGGCCCAGCACCTCGGCGGCCGCGGGCTCCGCTGCGACGCGCAGGCTTTGTTGGGCATGGCTCCATGCCAGAAACTTGTTTTCCAGGCCCAGGGAAGATTTCCCCCAGGAAGATTGTCTCAGCTGAAAAGTAAGGCGAAGTTTGGTCCCTCCCCTTCGGGGAGAGCCGGGCAGTCGCTGTGCCTGCGACAGAGGCGGCCTCCTGTGGGAGCAGCCGCTGCTCGGCCGGCTCCTGAGGGCCGTGCGTGGCCAGAGGGGACGTCCAGCTCCTCGGGACAGCGGGAGGGGAGCAGGCCACAGCCAGGACACCGCACTACAGGTACGTGAGGCCCTGCAAAGGGCAAAAAAAGGGTCTGGGGTGGGAGCGCGGGGAGGAGCAACGATGACGTGAGGGGGATTTTAAGGAGCTGAGTTATTTCTGCGCAGCACCTCACGCAGCTTCACTGCTCCCACTGCTTGTCCCCAACCCTCGAGGGATCGCGCTCCTCACCTTCCTTCTTTCCAGCCCCTTATCCGGCCCCAAATCCCTGTGCGACCCTGCGGAATGGTGGGATTCACTCCGGATAAGTTGAGAGGGGTAAGGGAGGATATGTCCCTTCGCCTGTCCATGTGTGGACAGCATTCAGGGAGATAGAACCCACTTCCCGACAGGCTGTGGGGATGGGAAGCAGCAGCCCCAGGCTGCAGCAGAGAAAACTCCGACGAGATGGAAAGGGAACATAAAACTCACAGCAAGGGTGATTAAACTCTGCTTCAAGTGCCCAGCACTGAGACATGCAGACCTGACGCAGCCCCATGCTTTGAGCAAGTGTTTGGACAAAGTGACTTCCAGCAGTCCTTCCCCACCTAAATTCTTCTGGGAGGCTGAGAGGGCAAAGAGGAGGAGGTTTGAGTGCTCTGCCAGGCAGCATTCACCTCCTCCAAACCCAGCATCCCGATATGTGCACGGGACCCTGTGGCCCTGCTGCTGGTGGGGAGAGAAGGTAGTTTTTGGATGTGGCTCCCCTGATGTGTTTCAAGCCCAAGCTCAGTACAAGGGACAAGTCGAGGACTGCCATGTCAGCCACACGGACCCGCCGAGATAGGGACAGCCTGCCTGTACTTTACCCTGTGACACAATCCCAGCCTCTCAGGAGCTGCAGGTGGTGGCTCCTTTGGGTAGGGATCGGGGGTGGTGTTGCTGCCTGGGCGTGCACTCTCCAACCCCACTGACGTGTTCACAGCAGCCCAGAGACTGTGATGACTTACTGCTGGGGACAGGTGGGATCAAACTGTGCTGACACCTTGCTGGGGACAGGTGGGATCAAACTGTGATGACTTACTGCTGGGGACAGGTGGGATCCCCCTAAGAGCAGCTCCAGGAGGAATGGGACATGCGGAGATCTCCATCTGTCATTGATGGGTGGCCTCCCCTTTCTCTGCCTGCTGGGAGTGAAAGACTTTCTTTCTTCATAATCAGCTGATGTGAGGAAGGAAGAGACTGTTGTGCTTGCAGAGAAGTGAGAGGGGATGGTTCCCAGCAAGCAGGTTTCCCACTACAAAGTCCTGCTGTAGGTCCAAACCAGCAAGCAGTGGGTCAGAAAAGATGCTTCACTGCCTAAAATGGTTTAAAACCAGTGACAAGAGCTGGGGCTCTCAAGTAAATGATGACATAACTTTTAAGATAAAAATCCTCTAGACACAGTGAATATTGAAATGTTTTGGCTTCTGGGGTAGGGACTAAGTGATCCCATGCCCTGGTGATGAGAAATGGCTCTTTGTTTCAATCTCCAGGGTCAGATCTGTCAGGGGATTATATAAAACATTATTCAGAGATCAAAACGGGACAGTGACACTTCCATCTGCTATGAGGTTTCTTACTGGGGAGTGCTGCAGTGATGAGCATGGGGAAGGGAGGCCCTGACCTAGCCCAGGATGTAGGACCATCACCCAAAAACCTGGAAATTGCCCAATTCCACCTTTTCTTCTCTCAGTCTCCATTTACCATCTTGAGAAGGGGGATGTACCATCCTTCCTCAGCCCGTAGGCTCATGGTGATGTGCTGTCAGTGATTGACTGAGGTTGGCACTAAGCCACACTAAAATGTCGGATGGAAGCAGCCTTTAAAACATAGAGCATGCTTGTTTACTGGGAAAAAAATGGAGCTCAGATCAGTGAAAAACCACACATTTGCATTTCAGTGACAGCCTCAGCCTTTTACACACTGCAGCACAAAAGGCATTAGTGTGAAGGATTCTTTGCTTCAGCTCCCCCACATTCCTCAGCTTCAGCTTCTCTGCTTTGGCAGCCTTCAAATAAAGGGAAAGCCAAGGTCAAGAGAAAAAAAAAAAAAAGGGAAAAAATAAAAGGAAAAAAAATAAAAGGGAAAAACAAAAAGAGAAAAAATAGGCCCTGAAAACCTACTTTCCTGCTGCCCACTATCCAATCGAGAGCTCCTGCCTGGAATATGCCTGCTGTTTGTCAATGACTTTTGCATTTCCCAGACCCCCCTGCAGCCCTGTTCTCCCTTTCTGGAGAAGCTGATACCCTTGCAGTCCCCAGCTCCTGGGACAGGCACATACGGAGGTGGCAGTGGCCAAGTTCTGTCAGGCATGGAGAGAGTTTGCCCCATCACCAGCACCACCATCCTCTGTCCTGTAGCAGCAACTTCCCACAAGACTTGTGGAAATGCTGGGGTACCTGAGGAACATCAAGCCCACTTCAGAAGGTACAGGGAAGAAGCACAGTGACACCCAGGACCCCATCCTGTTACTCTCACATGCATAAGTTCTCCTACTGCAAGTCCCCGGAGCACTAGAGGGAAGAGTTTGAAGGACCTGGCTCAAAAAAGGGCAATGTTGGATTGTATCCTCATGTCAGTTCACACAGGCCTATGAAAACTGTGCCAATTTATACTGACGTTGGATCAGCCTTGGAATTTAACAAAAGCCTCCATGTTTATCCAAGTGTTGGGAAAGGCTGTCAGAGCTACTTCCTGTATCCTTTCAATCCCCAGCTCTGGAAACTGCTGTGGGAACCACCCAGCAGTGGCCACAGCACATCAGCTCTGGAAAACAAACCCAAACCCAGGAACTAAAGGCAAAACCACAATGGAACACGAGGAAGCCATCATTTCCCTGGTTGTAATCACCAGCAAGAATGCGGCTGTGCTGCTGGAACTTCCATTTTATCTGTTTATCGTACTTGAAGCAGATCCAGCGCTGGGCAGTGGTGTGCAAGGACTCCAGCTACCACAAACTGAGGAGCAGGACACCCATCTCAGGTCTCAGCTGCTGTACAACCAGCACAGTTAAGAAATTCCAGACTTAAAGCACACAGACATATAAACACACAGTCCAGTTTCTCAGAGAACATAATAATTTGATTTCCAGTATCACAGGAGCAGAGCAGGGGTGATGGATGCTGTTATCCCACATATTTCTAGGAAATCAATTCCCACTGCTTAACACCCTACAGGGGTCATTTCTCTTCTGCTACAGATGCTGAAGGTGCACAGATGATAAAAAGTTGTTTTAATACAAAAAGTAAACTGCAGAGGCTGACAGGGTAGAGGTTTGATATTTCCTTTTGTGCAGTTCCTCCAAGGGCTGGACATACTGGGCAAAGCAGGAGTTTAACATCTCAGTAGTAAAATGCCCTCCACAGTCAGCGTGCTGTTACTTAAATTGCACCAAAAGAGTAAAGCACAGCAAAAGCACTGTTTTTACTTGCACCTGAATAAGGCACCTTCTGAATTTCCCAAGAAATAATGGCATTGTTCTAGAGGAGAGGGAAGCTGGAAAGGTGTTTAAAAGTCAGGCTTCAGGTGTGAAATCTTTTTTTCAATTTGCATTTCTTGCCATAAGCAAGGTTCACACTCTAAGACAAAGGTTAAGATGTTGAGTTTATGTTTACTGAAATAAATTCAAGTACAAACAGCAGTAGTAGGCAAAGAGTTTATCTACCTGTTTAGTGTATCTGTTATTGCTTTAATAATTGTTCTGCTTAATACAGCTGCTTATGAGATTGGGAAGAAATGTAAACATTCCGTTTACCTTTGAAAAACCTGACATAATATTTGGTGACAGATTGTGGTCATGTAAAAACATACCTCACCTGAACACTTCTTCTGTTCAAAAAAGCCACACTAAGGCATCCAAATCAGACCTTAGACAGCAGCTGAACTCCAGCTCTTTGGATTTGGGATGGACAGTCACAGCTCTGCTCCTAAACCTACTGCCAAATTCTTTCACAGCCCTGGGTAAGGGAAAGAGAGCATTCCTAGCATAAACAGGTTAGAACTCAGTAGCCTTCTAGCTATTAAAATAAAACCAGACTTACATAAGTTATATAAAAAAATTTTTAAAAAGTTCTGAAAGGTGGGAAACAGGGCTTACTGGAACATTTAAAAATCAGAATAAACTCAGAGAAACTATATCAGAAAGCAGACCACACGTTTCTTCACCAACAAAACAAAATGCAACGGTTTTATTTTTGTTTTTCTGCTTTTTCTATCAAAAAAGAACAAAGTTACCAACAGCCCCTGGCTAATGTGCTCAGTGCAAAAGTTCCTCCAAATCTGCAGTTATGGTTAGATCAGCTTTTGCTCCAACACCTCCCCAGTTAGATCCTGTTCCGTAAATGATGCCTGACGGTCATGTGGAACCTCACACAGCAAAGACACTGAACTCAGAGCATCAAACTTCCCTTTACAATTTCACATGACAGTAACGTTTTTTGGTTTTGTTTTTTTTTTAAATCCTGTTTTTGGCTAAAACTTTAATAGTTCCAGAAACATGGTATTTGGCCTTCTTGTTTACTGCTGACCACCAGAAATCCCTGCATTCCGTCCTTGTTCCTTGATATCATTGGAAAATTCTTCCAGAAGTAACTCTCATTCCTGTGCATTCAACAGCTGAAGGAGGAATCTTTTTCTTGGAAAAAGAGCAGCAAAGCTGCTAAACTCAGTCTTGAAACATCCACTTGGCTTGGCTTAAAACCCCTTCCAGCAGCTATTAAGCTGCCAAGCACTTAAGCTTGACCAAAATTCTCTCCTGCGATTGGGCAGATACTTTTCCAGACATTTTTATGGGGTGTAAGGATGATGGAGACACAATTTTAAGGATGATGGAGCTCGGTACGATGATGGAGCTGAGCTGCTGGGCTGACAGTGAAGCTGGGAGTGCCAGGGATGATGATGATGGAGCTGGGCACGCTAGGGACAATGATGGAGCTGGGCCACTGGACATATTCTCGAAGCAGTGGATGTGTAAAGGATGTTCCTCTGCATGGATGAATGGAACCATTAGCTGCAAAAGGGAGCCAGGAGCAGGTCAATACGAAACTGGAAGCGCACAGTTGCCTTCTGGCTCCCTTTGCAGATGTGTGAATATTCCGCGGAGGCACCGCTGTGGTTTTACCGGTGTGTGTCCTATGAGCAGGGCAGCAGGGCAGCCCTACGCGGCCAGGTCGAAGTCGTCGCGCTCCTGGTTGTAGTCGAGCACCTTCTGCCGCAGGCGTGAGGCGTCCACCCAGGTGATGAAGTCCTCGACGGCGCGGGGCACGAGGAGCGCGGGGTCCGTCACCACCTCGGGCCCCACTCGGACGTGCCCCTGCTCCACGAAGGTGACGGCGTGGCGCAGGTTCTGCGCCATGCGCAGCTTCACCAGCAGGCAGGGCAGGCGCCGGCGGCAGAAGGCGGCGGCCGAGAGGCTCTCGCACACGGCCAGTGACTGCCGGCTGTTCACCAGCCCCAGCCCGTGCAGCTTTTCCAGCAGCGCGGCGGCGCAGCGGGCGCGGAAGGCGGCGCTGGCCGGGCCCAGGTCGCGGAGCCGCCGGGCCAGGGCGCGCACGGCGCGGGCCAGCAACTTGTACTGCACGTAGTCCTCCCGCCGGCCCACCCGGTACCGCCGCAGCGCCCGCACCTCCGCCAAGTTCCCGCCCGATGCTTCCCAGTTCACCAGGTCCAGCCGCCGCAGCAGCTTCTGCTCGTGGTATTTCAGTTTCCGCACCATCTTCGCGGGACCGGGATCCGCCGCGCCGCCGCCAGAGAGGGACTTTTCCGGGGCGGAGCGGCCGCCGACCCCGCGGCTCTTCCGGGGAGGAGCCGCCGTGACATCACACCGGGAGCCCCGCCCCGGCAGGCCCGCCCCGGGGGAGCCCGGCCGGGCGGCTGGGTACGGGGGCAAGGATGGCTCCGTGTCTCCTTCTCCAAGGAGAAGGCGGCAGCTAGATCCCAGCCCGGGATGCGGCTGCCCCCCCCCGCGCTCTGCGCATCGCCGGGGCCAGCCCGGCGCCGAGGGGTCACCCCAGGTACGGCCATATCGCCCCGACAACCGCTCCGGCACGGGCAGCCCGACCTTCTCTCGCCAGGGGCCGAGCCCGGGATTCGTCATACCTCCTGGAAAAATGGCAGCGGCGTTGTGTTTCTCCGTGATATTCCGCTCCCCCTGATGCACAGCCCGGATTTCCTTGAGGAACAGCAGAATCCTCCCTCTGTGCGTCTCGTAGCACCGCAGGTCCCCCGAGTGCCGCTGCGTACTCGCCAGCCAAGGGTTTCATCCCACTTTTCTGTAAGTGCACGGTGCTGTCTGCTCCTTGGGATTCAGGATACAACAAGGAAAATCCCCAGTAGAACAGGTCAGGTTGACAATTTGGGATTTCTTTGTTTCTCACGAGCCGATTTCTATATTGGCTCAATTTTGATTTTCCTAATTCTGGATTTTCAGCGTGCTGGGTTTGTTTCAGTGTGGGTAATCTAGTCACAAAGGCCATGATGGTATCTTGATTTGCTTTGTGTTTTTTCTCAGGTTTGTCGGTGAAGGCACCAATGGAAATGTGGAGCACCAGCAGCACTGAGAGATTTTACAAGATCCCTGAAGGAAAGGGACCACACTCGGTTGGATGTACAGACCTGATGACAGAAGATGCAGTTGAGGTAAAGCTCTCGACTCTTTCTCCTTTGGATTTAAGCCACAATGTTAGTGAAACAACTGGCTGCAATTTTATAGGTAAATCAAGCAGAAGGTCTTGCATGTGGGCTCCATGCTGACACAGCTGAGCTTTCTATGCTCTCCATCCTGGTGTAGGATGTGTACTGGGCATTTACCAGATGGATGTAACCTGCAAGCCTTTCCCATGGCCAGTTCCTCCCTCGTCCCAATGTGCTTGCCTTTCTGACTCTCCTACACAAGATACTGCAGAGAAACTGTGTCCTCCTGGGACCCAGGGGGTTCTTCCCACCCACCCCACTGCTCCCTCCTGCCCTGGGCTCCTGAGGAGACTCCACACGCAGTCTCTGTGTGACTGTGGCTGCACTCATCACAAAGATCCCAACAAGATTTGACAGGGTTGGGAGATGAGCCTATGCAGTGTTCATCAAAGATGAGATGACTTCTTGAGATTTTATCTCACTGAAGACGAACAGGATGTCAATTTTGCAAGAGGTTACCACAGTAAGAAGTCACAATAATAAGATAGGGATAGTAACCAGGCAAATAATGAGCTTGCTTGTGAGTTTCCATTTCAAATCTTCTTGCCTTTGAGAGAATACACCTGCATTTACACTGTGGTTTTACTCCTGAGAGTAGCCAGGTGTAGTGGAACTTGTGATCAGTTTGTGATGGTTCATATGTTTTCCTTTACTGAGCTTACTTTATATCAGTACAGGGAAGTGATGAGTTTCTCTTTGCAGTCAGCCCATGTGTGTTTTTTACATAAGCATTACGAACAATTGCAGTTCTCTCGGGCATAAAAAATGAACATCTTCCCCATTCTGGTAATCAGTTAGTCACTGGGTAGGTTCACTGGGACTAATCTGAGATCAAGTTAATATCACTAGGAGTGTGGAGGAAAATTCTTCCATAATGGTCTCTGTGTCAAAGGTTGATTTAAGTTTGATAAGTGAATAGAAACAAGCTTCATTAAACAAACTTCTGGTAAATGGATAAATTAGTGTTCAAGAAATCAGGCTTTATTTCAAAGCTCATGTTTATTTTGGCCCCGATTGTAACTTGCTGAACCAAAAGTAGTGCTGGAGCAAGACAGTGAATTTGAATGGGGTGTTGCAAATTCCCTTGCAAGCCAGCAAATAAGAATGCAAATTGCAAAGAGTTCATCTGTTGGGAAGTCTGTTTTACAGTGTGCATTGGTACATTGCTGCTGTGTGTGAAGGGAAAAGACTGACAAGGGGATATGAAAGGTCCCTGGGAGTGTGGAAAGCTTGGATGTTTTCCTGGGATACCTGGAGTGCAGACAGTAAGAGATTTGAACTGGTGGTAAGAAACAGAGGCAGATGAAAAACAGGCTAACAAAGTTGTGTTTAGAAAGATGGATCACAAGAGACTTGTGAACATCTTGATGAGGAGGAAGAGTGATGTATTGTTCTCCTTGCTGTGCAGCTGCCCAAGAGCTTTGCTGACAGCCTCTGCTCAGTTTAGGCAGGAACACTACAGCCACGTTTGAGACCCTTAACTTCTCCTGGCTGAACAGACCCAGCTCTCTCAGCCTGTTATGCTCAGAGAGGTGCTCCAGCTCTCAGGTCATCTTCAGTCACCCCTTTAAAAATCAGCCCTATAAAATTTACCAAAATGCATCATCAAAACCATTCCCAGTGAAGAAGACAGAAGAAAAGATCCAACAAGATGCTGGATCGAGCAAATAAGTAGTGAGTGTTTGTAATAATTAACTTTGTGATGATCTGTATCTCTTGGTACTTTAAATTCGTTGTATGCACAGGAAGATTGTGACATAGGATTGGCATCAAAGCCTGTATATGATAGTAATTTTCTCATGAGATTGTCATAATTCTCTTGAGCTTTCTTGCATTCTTGCAACTGAAATCTTTTCTATAAATGTTTTAATCTTCCATTTTCTCTGCCGTATACAAATAAATACCAATATTCCTTTTTAAATTTTTTTTTCTGATCCCAGGGAAGCTTTTTGCGCCTGTATTATCCAGCATATGATGCCACAGATATTGAAGAGGCACGATGGATTCCAGACAAAGAATACTATCAGGGACTCTCTGACTTCCTTAATATGTACCGAGTTGTAGGAGAAAGGCTTTTCCATTACTATGTTGGTAAGACTTGTTCTGGTTTTATTCCTTGCCTGTTGCTGCCTCCGTGCTCCCTGAGCAGGGTGTTATTGCTGCATGGCTGAAAAAGAGTTTTTAGCAAAGAAGTGTGTTTTTGTGGGATGAGTTTGTGTAATAGTGAGACTGCTGAATGTGACCCCAGCTTTCAGGCAGTCCCTGACTGCTGTGGATAGGAGTGTCTGGGGAGTTTGTTCTAGGTAAGCTGCACCTGTGTGTTGTGCTTTAAATCCCACAAGGAAATGTGGATATGGAAAAATGGAAAAGATAACAAAGTCAGAGACATCCTAAGGTCTGAATATCAGCGAGACCTGGATGCCTGACTATGAAAGTTTGAGAGACATGTAGACCTTGTGCCAGGCTGTGGATGGGAGCAGGAGAAGACAAGTATCTTCTGCCAAGTAGAAAGTATTTTCAGAATCAGATCCATATTTGCCTTCTATTTTAAAGATGAGTCTTGGTACCTTATCTTTAGGTGATGTCAGTGGTGACGCTCTGATACCAGTGGTCTCTACATTCTTGGGATCTCTCCCACAGGAACAAATGCTTTCTCCTATTCCAATAATAATGACATACACTTCCATTTTTATTTAGGTTCAGTGACCTGTCCTGCAAAGTCAAACGCTGCTTTTAAACCAGGAGAAAAATACCCACTTATTGTTTTTTCCCATGGACTTGGAGCTTTTCGGTAATTTTGCAGTTTGTTGACAAACTGGTTTTGTTGTCTATGGAGACAGCAGTTTCCAAGGGTGGTTTTGAACAGATTTTCAGTAGGAGGGTGAGATCCTTGTGGAGCTGAAACATATTTGAAGAACAGGCTGTCGTGTGTCATTATGCCTCCACTGAAACAACAGCAGGGTTGGTGTATGGTTGGTCACAGAATAATAGAACAGCTTGGGTTGGAAGGGGACTTTAAAGATCATTTCTGCTGTGGGCAGGGACACCTTCCACTAGACCAGGTTGCTCAGAGCTCCATTTATGTTTTCCCTTTGTGTGATGAAGGTTAAGATACTTACCAGCTCATAAGAATGTGAAGATTAGCTGGTTGATTTTTGGACAGCTCTTTGAAGATGCAAAGTGCTGTGTGTGCTACTTATTAAAAATCAGTGGCATTTTCCTTTCTGAATACAGTAAAACAGTACCAAGGTTTTGTGAACAGGCTTTGGTGCCTGGTATACAAAATCTGTCTTGCTCTGCTGGATAGTAAGTTCAAAGAGAAGAAATATTGAGTGGGGAATAATGCATACTTAGTGTGGTCAGCATTTAAAGAGCAATGGAATTTAAAGAATGACATCTCACCAGAGTGTGGTTTTTATTGCAGGACAATCTATTCTGCTATTTGCATAGAGATGGCTTCTCAGGGCTTTATCGTGGCTGCTGTGGAGCACAGGTGAGTGTGCTGCACATTTTGGTGTTCTGATAGAAAGCAACTTTCTCAAATTGAACAGAATTTTATTTATTCTAAAGAAGAACTTCTGGATTTTTTTTTTTTTAAAAGAAAAACTAACATCTGTTTTTCAGCCCTGCCCATAGCTCAACTCTTCTCCAAACAAAGGGAATTTTGTTTAGATAAGCCCTAGAATGAAAAGTCTTGGGGTAGATATAATTTGTCTCTCTCTTACTGTTAGAATATAAAGTAGGTGAAGAATTGAGAGGAGGTGGGAGTTTTGGTGGGGTTGTGGCACTATTTAGAAAGTCTGTGTACACTGGGTTGCAAGTGCAGCAGCACTGATTGATAGCTGGATGTCTTCAGATGAGTGAAGTCTAAAACTTGTGCTGACTTAATCTCAAACCAAATGGAATGCATACCCAGAAATAACCTCCTCTTGGTATTACAGAGACGAATCTGCTTCAGCTACATATTATTGTAAGAGAAGGTCCGTTTCTGAGTCACAGGAAGAGTCCACACCTAACATGGAGAAGGAGTGGATCTACTACAGGAAACTGAAAACTGGAGAGGA